AAATAAATTCTTGTCATCAAAATTGCAGGAAAACCGCTAACCTTGTCAACTTGAAATGTTTACAGATGCAAGAGCAGACTAGTGCCAAGGTCTGATTAGGTTTTGGCCATGCTGGGTAAATTGCATGGTGGCCAGTTTGCTCTTCAAAGTGCGATATTTATCACTGTGTGTCTTGTTCTATATTAGCTTCATGCAGGATAATGCATTAGCTCAATATTATCCAATGTATTGGCATCTCTTGTTCTATATTAGCTTCATGCAGGATAATGCATTAGCTCAATATTATCCAATGTATTGGCATCCCTTGTTCTATATAAGCTTCATGCAGGATAATGCATTAGCTCAATATTATCCAATGCATTTGCACCCCTGACTTCAGTGGCACCTGGCACAGATGGTACCATGCAATTGCAATATGTTAGGTGGGGAGAAGATGAAATTATAGAAAGATGCAATAGGAAACATGATACAGGTCTGGCAAGTGTGTTGTATATGTCCAATGTATGAGTTGTTGCATTAACTATTCCAAAGATTATAGCCAAGTCAGCAGTTTTAGTACTAGGTTCTAGGCAGTAGGTTATAAATAGAAGAAAAGTAACATTTAGTACAAACATTGAGCACAACAAACAAGTATGAATCAACATATACAATACAAGATAAAATATAATTTCTTATATATATATAGATAGATTACATTTACATATGATAAGCAGCTACAATTAAAATACAATTACTTTTTTAGGATTAAGATTCATAGATAAACTACTACATAACAAACAATGTACAGCAAAACATGTCTTAAGCAAATACAGATGGGACCAGCTAAAAATATTCACTGAGAGAGTGTCTGCAGTCTGCATGAGGAAGTTCACTTAATGTACATAAAGGGACGGAAAAAGCCTGTTCAACATTTAGCATTTCTTTAGAAAGGTTTTACTCTAAATTTATTACCAATAAATATATGTACTATCAATGAATGTATTGTAAACAGCGGATTATATAAAAATGGACTGTAACAAATACCCGGATTTGTTGGTTTTCAAAAAAAATTATTTTTTGATATCACTTTTTATGCCTGGCATAAAAAGTGATGTCCCATTTTATGCTGAGCATAAAAAGTGATATCTCATTTTATGCTGGCATAAAAAGTGAAATCCCATTTTATGTTACAGTATTTGTTACAGTCCATTTTTATATAATCCGCTGTTTGTATTATCTGAAACAAAAGCATTAAATATTTAGCAGTTGATATAATATGTAGGATACTTCTATATGCATACATGTATATGATAAATGTTTAAGAGAGCCTAGATATCTAATCCATGTAATCAACAGGGTCAAAGGGGTGAATGTTTGGGAGGAGAGATTTGTTCATGATTGTAATTGATCCAATCCTTCTCTTTAACATTGTATTCTTACATGTTTTCTCTTCTCATAATAATAAATTAAAATACTGTGCAAAAGCAGAGGGGTGAAAGTGGATGCATGGGTAGAATAGGAATGATATGAACTACAAAAATCTGAATTAAGGATAGCCATTTCTCTTTCCCCTTTTGTTAAATATGAAATGTTTACTAATTACAACCCAAAGGGCAACATAAAATATATGAATATTATCTGTAAGTTGATGACATATTACATTGACTATATAGGCTAAATTCACCAGATTACTTCAAAAGAGTTATTTGCTATATGCCTCATTAATGTTATATAAGTGTGATATCTCCATCTCTTTATTTCTTTTTTATTAACCAACATTCAAGATCAGCAAGTTCTCCCCTGATTTACTACTGTATATTAGTACATTCTGTGATAAGAACCTGTTATGTATTATCAGGTTATTATCATAATTTCAGTGATTGATGATGTTTTGTGGAGGAAAATGATGAGACTTATTGGTTACTGTTGTTGATAAGTGAAGTGTTATGAAATGATATTTTAGATTATTCCTGACACTATATCCTATACTTGATAAGATAACCGGTGAGGATAACCCAAATGTTAACAACTCCAATCGATCAATTAATCAGCCAATGTTATGCATTTATATGTTCATACTTCAAGGTAGTTATATACCTGGAGGCATAAACATTACTTTTAGATAAATTTTATATAACCGTGTATTAAAATGTTCCTTACATCAATGCATTTGATAATCAACCTAAAATCAAAAAGTAAGTTTCATGATGACACTCAGGAAATGCAGGAAAGGAAACGGCCATGACATTTTATTTCAAAATGGTGGATAGTAAGTGAAGATTCAACATTGAATTAAAATGCTTTGCCATGAGCATTCAGCTTTGAAATTATTATTGTATCAATTACAGTATAAATATATAAGCGCAAATGCCAAAGGGAAGGGTGGCTAAAAACTTTAAAGAAATCCAACAAGAAAAGCAAACTGTAAGTGTAAATCTGTCATAAGAAAAGTAGACATAACATAGACACTCTACAAAAGGTAACATCCATTACCTTTTAATACTGACCAGTGATTTTGTCTCAAAGCAAGAAAACATTTTCATCCCTGATGGTGTTATATAAGAGAGTAAGGGATCACGAAAGCCCATGATGAAACTGACCAAAGCATTGTTTTATTGTATGAGAATTTGAAGGATTGCGGATGCTCCACAAACATGACAAATGAGAGTCAACTAGAATTGAGGTGTAAGGTATCTGCAAAACTGTAAGTTAATATTTTGTTTTTCTCTCATTATTGGATTGATGTAATATCTTTGCAATTATCTATGTTACATTTCAATATGGGGATAGATCTATACTCCCTCAGTATAGTTTTTTGAGATACATGTACATATATTGAAAACTGATACTATGATGATAATACTGAATTCTGATTTTTTCAGAAAGATGATTGTTTCCTTTCCATGCTTACAAGAATGATGAACTATCCACAAAGAATTACAGCAAGAATTATGGACTTTTTAATGATTTTGTATGACATATACCAACTTATGTTTTTAGCCCACACCGAGTAGCTAAAACAGATAGTGTTATCCAAATTACATTAAATCTCACTGGATTAAGCTAATCCAAAATATCTATTAGCAGAAATAGAGATGTAAATCTCAGGGCTATACCCTGTCTATATGAGCACATACCATTACGTTAAACACATATTAGGAATGCTTGATTAGCCTCTTCACCAATAACCAACTATTGCCTCTAAATCAAATAATGCTATCTCCCAATCAGTAAATCAAACATGTCAATAGACATATAACAAGATTATACAGTATGGTAAGTCAAATCGAGATGCTTGATACAAGCACCGATTTTGCAGAGCGCTAAAACATATATTATTTTAACCTTGGGAATTGTAAAATCCAAATGCTAGTAGTGTGAATAGACATTTTCCAATGAGAAGCATCCAACTTACATATGTAAGACACCTGTTGAAACATCCATCACTTTTGAGAAATGCAGCAATAAATATTTTATTTATCTAGAATATTGTACATGTTCATGTTCTGATCAATATTATCTGGTGGATATTGTTTTATTGTAGTAATAAAGCTTGCATGTACATATATACCATTATACCATGTAAATGGTTGTTATGAGAATATGGTACAAGTCACAGAGGACAGATTTGCATTAATTGACTGTATATGGTATAATCACAAAATATGCAATTTCATTTTATAGCATAATCACCAGTACAATGGTTAAAAATTTCTTCACTTCTATATTTACTAGATTATTTATTTAATCAATATCATATTTAACCTTTGTGTATAATATGCAAAAGTATTATGAATAAAGAAGATTAGAGAAGTGGAATATCATTATAAAATTCAAGAAAATAATAAACTCAATTGAGATCATATTTAACTCTTACATAAACCACATTTCATTTTGGCAAATTTTTAAATCAAAGAAAATATTAAAACAATAAGTAAATTGTATTTCTCTAAAGCAAAAACCCTAAGCAGACCTAGAATAATAAACCTGTCACTTGGTTTCATATGATATTCTTTAATCTAAAGTAAGTAACAGCTGCACTTCATGCATGCACTAAAGCATAAACATATCCAATAATACCAACCTCAACCATCAGGTAACAAATCAATCATAGTCTAACTGCATATAGCAAAATACATAAACGAAGCAAACCCTTACGTTAATGGCATGGTTGTCATGTTCCCTGACATAATTTCATCATTTGACATACATCAAGAGCAATAGCAGTCACACTTGGGAGTACTAAGAATTATATTTGGAATCATTGAATGCAATATGCCAGAAGGAGAGTATTGGGTTCCATGACCGTGCCAAGAATGGTAAGGGGGATAAAAGATTATGTAGCGCCAATGTGGTAGTTTGGGTTATGTGAAGTAACAGGTTGCCAGCTTTTACTGCAAATGTAATTTAAATGCTGAAGAACAACATCAAAATAATCTACTTTAGCGTCAAATAGCCATCTACTTGTACTGACAATTTCAATAAAAAGAAGACTAAGTGGCCCGTCTAAGTTTTGAAATATTTTGATGTTGTCTTCAAATAAATGGGTTGAGAAAATGAAGTAGTTAGTTAAGGGTTTTATGCTGCCACCCTTTTTCAGAATCCTCTTAACATTCACAATCTTGTAGATGATAAAAGGGTCCACATGGCCAGAGAACCAATCCAGATTCAAAAATTGTCTCTCATGTTTCCATTTGCATGTTTAAGAGACTGGCCTTGTTTCTAAGAGCCTTTTAGTCTGAATATGATTGCATCAGTTTGGTGTATTGATTTCATATATTTGGCTTGCTCTGAAACAAATTAAGACTAGACTAAATTGCTCATTGTTCCTTGATAAACTATGTTCCAGTAGCTTCAAATGGTTCAATATATCAGCCTAAAGGGGAATGAGCTCTGAAAATTACAACATGGAAACAAAATAAAGATTCTGAATTGTTGCAGTATGGATTGGATTTGGTGGATGGCCTAAAGTGGCAAAATGTTAGCCAATTAGAACAAAGGGTAACATCACATGACCCTACCTGACCAAGAATTCGCCAACATCTATTCCGACAAGTCTCTCCCTCAAAAATAGAAAACAACAGGTTAGATAATAGAAAGTCAAATAAAATATGAAAATTAGTTAGTTGCTGCACAATACTCATTTGCTTTAGAAATTAATAGTCCCTGGAGAAAATTCATGATATTGATTGTTTGAAACATGTATAAATTAATGCCCTTTGTGCCTTTCTATTGCAGTTGAAATTTACCCTAGGAACATGTTTTACCAAAGTAAAAAAATTCCCATGAGAAGCAACTCTGGACCTGAGATGATGATATTATATTCAAGTTCTTTTCTCTTCATTTCAATCAGAAAATCAACTAATATATGTACATTGTATATTATATTCAAGTTATTTTCTCTTCATTTCAAGGAAATTCATACAAGGGTTTCCGAAACACAATCACAAAACCTCAATGTTTTCAAACACATTCAAAGTATATCCATGGGAAGGCCATGGTACTAGTATATCCCAATAAGTCAATATCATTATTTAAATAAATCGTTGTGCCTGATTTTGTGGCAGTGTGACACCTATGTGGCACCTGCATTCATTATGGTATATCTCATATCTAAAGGCTATTCATGCATCATTGGCTACTGACAATGATAAATTAAGTACCTGCGTTTATGCAATCATTTTTGTTAAATCTTCTCCAGCAAAACCTGATTTTAGTATTCTACCCCACAGTTTGGAAAGGATAAAGAAGTAATTTATCAAATTAAATCAACAAGACTAAATAAGTTTCAATTGAATTTGCATCATCTGAAATCTGTTTTCCTGACTTAGTCTGTAATATTAAACCTTTTTGTGGTTAATACTATCATACAGAGACAAATAATCAGTACTGTTTTTATCTTAATACTGATGATGCCTAGCGCTATGTTACTAATAATATTAGTGTTATTAAAAAAAATCTAATATGGTATTATATTTTATTCTTATTTATAGTCAAAGTCCTCCAAACAGATTGAATCAGAAACACTAGTTGCACAATTTGAAAAACAAAAAGCCAGTAAAGTACAATAAAAATAGTTATGTACAATATAAAAAATTGATTAAACCTAGAGAGTCTCTAACAAAAGTATTGATTCTGTTTTGAATCCACCTGACTTAATAAATTAGTCTGCTACCATTACAAAGACACAAGTCCTCATCAAAATGACTAAGATGCCCCTAGTGACCACTCAAGGAAGATATACGCACCAATCACTGTGAACTGTAATGCTGAAGATACATCTAAATGCACCCTTGCATAAGGAGCATAATTGTTATGTAAATTTTCTTTTCTAGAGGTTCATTTTCTGCTTGCCCACTGCAGATAGGATTAATCGAACAATTAATGAATTTGCCCATTGTCAACCAAAACATTATTTATGATGGTAATAAGTAGTTTAAGCATATGTGTTTGTTGAGGTACGCAAGAATGAAACTTCAATGAAAATCATGTACAAGTGTTGTCCTAAACTAATTGTTTTCAATTGAAGTTTCTATTATTAAAACAAGAGATTTTCTCATAGCAATATTGATACATAATCTTAATTGATATGCAGATATATGATTGGAGTAGGTCAGGGTACTGATTATTAGGTACCCAAAAAGAATTTAGCCAACATATACATTACAAATTTTTTACATGTGTGAACTTGTAAACCTCCATTATCACAGACTGGTATCGAAAGATTTGTCCGCTGTGACGGAGCATGCTATTTTTCATAAAAACACTAAGAATGCTTCACGATTTATTTTTTAACTCATATGTTTCGTTTTATCAAATATTATTACTTACTCCATGCAATGGATATATCATTTGCGTGTAACCTTCACTTCTGTTTGAAGTCCAATAACGCTAGGAGTAAAATCTATTGAAAACGGCGCCAGAGTATCAAACTCTAAAATGTGCCATTTCTTTTTTACCTTTTTAATGGCATGATATAGTGACACAATAATATTAACATATGTTTTAAGCATAACTCTGAATGTATTAATGAGATATTAATGCATTGGGTCTTTTTAGTTTTTTTAATAAAAAATAATATTAATATTTTTTGTCCGCTGTGACGGAGCATTTTCACAGTTCATATTTGCAACTCCTCCGTCACAGCGGACAAAAAAATTAAACATTATTTTTTACAAACGAATTAAAAAGACCAAATACATCAACATCTCATTAATACCTTCATAGTTATGCTGAAACCATGTGTAAATATTATCGTGTCACTATATCGTGCCATTAGAAAGTTAAACAAGAAATGGTACATTTTGAAGTATGATACTCCGGCGCCATTTTCAATAGCTTTTCTTCCCAGTGTAATTGGACTTCAAACAGAAGTGAAAGTTACCCGCAAATGATATATCCATTGCATGGCGTAAGTAATTTTGTATGGTATAACGAAACATATGAGTTAGAAAATAAATCGTGAAGTATTCTTAGTGTTTTTATGAAAAATAGCATGCTCCGTCACAGCGGACAAATATTTCGATACCAGCCTGTGATTATAATGCTTCGAATAATAATCCCAGGTGACCGCTGTTGAATTGTTTTAGCACATTGGGTTTGATTGAAGTCAATATGTAATAACTCAGATGTGAGTAGGTAGTTACCAGTTTGACCACCAGGTGGCTCGTTCAGGTCAGATAGCATGGTGGGTATACTAGTATTAGAAAGTTCCCTTGAACTTAAATATTCATCAGTTTTAGTGGTTCAGTTTTCATATCACCCTCATGTATCTAATAGTTATGCAAACTAAAATATGTCCAATAAAAGAAAATATTATCTGTCAAATACAAGAAAAGATATTTCACTTTTTGTGATTTTACAACATGGGGTCTATGGGAATCTTCTCGAACTTGAAGTCACATTTTCCAAAAATATTAAGTTGATAAACAATTTTCGAAACCATTATTAGATGGACTTTTACCAAGGATTTCAAATATGACATCATGTCAACTAAATTTTGAATATTTTATGATGTAAATCAAGAATATTTCTACTCGCATCTGGTCTATTTGACTTAAATATTTATTTCCACAGATACAGAATTGCTTTACAGTGTCCAGAACTGTTTCTATTGCTTGATATAATTTATTTTAGATTGTTTTGTAGTTGAAATACTCAATATTTTGTCACAAGAACCATTCTCAAATTCAAATGCTAAACATTTTGTTTTCAGTACAATAATACAAATGAACTGCCAAGTATTCAGGCAACCCAAATCCAATGTAATTTAGGCATTGCTTTTTACAATGTCTTTTTAAAAATTGTTTTAATCAATTTCCCCTGAACCAGGTCCTTATTTTCTAATTACTTTACTCATTTGGTGTCAACTTGAAATCAAATTATACATGTTTATTGAATTAAAAATGTTTTTCATTTTCTGTTTCAGTAACAAAGATGGAAGAATGTTAACATACATGGCTAAATACACTAAGGACTATTGACATATAATATTATACAGAGAGGATTTACCCTAAAGGAATTGATAGGAACAAAGTTGATGCCTTTCTTCAGGGACCTATTTCTTCACGGACTGTATGCCTTGCAAGGCCTACACAAAAAATAACTTTTATCTTGATGGACAATATTTTACAACCAGAAGCAATCAGTAAAACTGTTAATTGTGAAAAAGAGTCACAGTCATAATTGATAAGAAATACATGTTAGTTTTGTAAATAAAACAAGTTTTTAAAACAGTATAGCAATATATTAGTACATAGGGAATGGGGTTTCAAGAGTGAGTAGGTAAATGCCATAGGTGTTAACATTCTTGAACTTATCATGGTTTTTACTTTATCTTTTCGCTCTTGTACAACCAGCAGAACATAATAAATTCTGTGCTTATTTACTCAAATCTTTGTTTGTTTTCAACAGAGGATATTGCTCTTCGAATAAGATTTAAGCACACACTCAATCGAATGCACTCTTCCAAAAAGAATTTATCTTTGATCTAACCTTCATCCAATCAGGCATGACTATAATCAAAATTGACTACCCCATCAGACTTTGAGTCAATGTACTGCCTACAAGAAGCTGACATCCATTTCAAAGTTAATATTCCCATAAAATAGTATGGATTGAAAAGAACAAAAGATTTGAAGCAATACCACACCTTTCAAGCAAACTGGCAAATGAATGTATATTACTGTTTCACCTGCAAATATTGATAACTCAACTATTTATTGGTCATTCACTGAAATGTTATATGTGGAAAAATACAGAGTTGGTTATTTACATCAGAAAATGGTTATTTTCCTCTGGAGCAGAAAATTGGTATTTTCCAGTAGACCTATTGAGCAGAGTTAAGGCAACTTTAGTACACCTGGCCTTCGTCAAAACATGCTGTTCAGAATGTGAGCTCAAAACACCTGTCAGTGTACAGATGTATTATACTGAAATGTTAGAATTAACTTGAAAACCTCTCCAAGATGCTTGTTTGGTTTGTAGAAGGGTGTAATAGGCAAGAGCAAAGAGAACCACAGTAGAAAATCATGAAGTACAAAAGTATTATGGTAAAAGTATGATTTCATCAGCTTAATCAAATAACTCTAGTAACCTATAAGATGATCGAAAGGTAGTATTTCTGAACGTATACCCAAATAATACCAACCACCAGAACACATACCTACTATGTTCAATAACAAACTAAAATGAAATTGTGTTCAACTAGTTTAGAATTTAGTGGGATTCTACATCATGGGAGTCACTCCATGAAAACACAGATAGTCATATTGTACATAGTTGTCTACATCAATATGAGGAATACGTTTATAATCCTTAATAAACTAGCTGATTATGCTTCTATAGCAACTTGGATATTTGGCATATATATCAATATATAAGCTATATATGACTAGCAAAATCAAAATATAATTAACTGCAGTATGTAGCCTTATTCAATGTGCAAGGATTCCCAGTCATGCAGTCATATAGTTGCTCCTTTATAAATCCAATCAAGACTTATATTAGACAGACTTCCTGAAGGGAATCAGAAATGTGCTGTCAGGCTTCATGCCACCATGGTAACAAGCGAATTGATGGTTTAAGAGTGAAAATTGACTGATAATTGATTATGCTTGCATGAACTAAATCTCAGAAACCATAAAAACACTTGTTCACTATCCTTCTACTGTAGTTGCATGCAAGTTGATTTTGCAATTGTGAGAACATTGACATCTGAAAGAAAGAATGAAAATATATGCCTTTAATACTTGAAGTTGTTTGATATATAAGAATCAAAAGAATCATTCTCTTCTCAACTATTGGATGGGATCTCAAATAGGACACTGTTATATATACTGGTCATACAGTCATATTCTTTGATTTTTCATTTCAATCATGGCCATTTTTATTTTCCCACTCCCAAGAAAAATATCATACAGATCTTTCCATTCTTTGTTTACATTGTATAATAATTTGAATAGATAGGAGCTAATAAAAATAGAAAAACACAAATTGACATGCCTTGACGTGATACAATTATAAACAAGATGGCTCTTGACATGAAGCTAAACCTTACCCTGGAGACCATGCAATGTTGTCAGATAGATGAGTTCTCAAATTTTTCTTGGCCTCATATTGTAATTCCAGTATGAGATGCGACAACATACCAAATGTGATGTACAATGTGGATGCTGATTCAAAATATGGGAGTCACATCAACCTAATAAACTAATTGTGCCCTACAGTGAATCTTATCTTTCCTTATATCGATTAATTCAAATCCTCTTCGGATGAGTATGTCTTGAGAATTGAAAATCCCTTCAATAATTTTTGATATTCTGCTGTCCTACACTTAACAGGGCTAAATCTTAATTGAAACAAATATATATGTTGCATTTTTCTTGAGGATAGACTGTCAATGTTGGATTATAATTTCTTGACCTGGATCTACATGATGATAATCCAACTTTTTCAAGTAAAGTCCCATTTATTGGATATGCTTTGACAATTGTTTATTTTGTTTTACTAGTTTGATGATTGGGTTGACTTGTTCCAGTGTATTTTTAATGTAACATACAATTATTATAAATTAATCATTTGTTTTGCCAAGAAGAAGTCGCTTTTAGAGGATCTTGAGATTGCAAGTTTGGCATCTTTCGTGAATTTGTGGGTATTGATTTCTTAATTAGTTTACATATTTTGGGGACATATTGTATTGATATTCAATCCCCATCGTTGGCATCTTTCAATCGTTCATGTGTAAAGATGCTTGTATTATTTCCAGTTGGTAATTCAGTTAATACTGAATGAGATTGAAAATTGACCAGGATCTTAGAGGGCAAAGCTACACATTAGAATGCCATTTTCCTCACATACTTTGCCAAATCCTCAACACATTTCATTTGAATACTGATGAATGGTTCTGGTGTAAGGTTCTTTACAGTGCCTCTAAGTACATTAATTTAGATTTGCTCTTAAGTATCTAATGTCTCTCATCCTTAAGTCAATATAGGAATTCAATAGAATTCCCAACTGATTTAATAACACCAATAATCGCCGAACTGGCTATTACATACAAGCAGTATTCAGTTCCTAATCCAAGCTGAAGTAATTTTCTGATATGTTATGAATGTTGAACAAATGAATGGCTGATTGGATATCAAGCACTTGCTTGCATAATTAATGGTGTCTTGTGTACATTTATGCATTGGTGTTTGACTCAACCAACATTACGTGTTGTGTCGTCTGATCGCAGTACCAGTCTGTAAAATACATAATTGAACTGAAGGATTACACTGAACATGAGATAGGCTGGAATTTATTTCAGTGCATCATACATCATACAAGTAGCAATGTTATATTAACTACTAATATTGGACTAGGTATATAGGTATAGGATAAGGTTGATATTAAAATACACCTCTTCAACCCACTCATTGTGTCACATATTATTATACTATGAATGCAACGTTCTATTTGCCTTGAACTGTCATTTTGGTAGCCATCTTAATCTTCTTACGATTTCCCTTGGGAGATTTCAGTTAATGAATTCTCAATGGTTGAATGAAATGTGACAGGATTCTCTTTATGCATATGTGGATTCAATGTTGCCATACTGAAGACCAAATTAAGCTTCAATTAGATAGTACATTACCAGCTCTTGAATAAGAAAATGAACTAGAAGAAGACTTAACACCGAAAACCTGTCTCATGAACATACGACGTAATTAGTGTCTGTCTGAAGTTTGAGAAGTTCTCTGGGCAATTGGGTTAACGGATGGAAATCTAATATACATTGCTTCCTGCGAATCATTGCTTTATTGTTGAACAGAAATCTCCAATTAAAGAAAGTAAGAGACATGTTTTGATAACATCTCGCTGATTCCAAGAGATGTGCTGGTGAGTCTGCTCATGTAATGTCACTTCGCTCATGTTGGTTGCCGGGTTTGTTGAAACCCTCCAAATAAAAGAATGCAATTTTACTCAAATACAACTACCTAAAGTAGTTGTTCCGCCATTTTTATACCAGCAAACATATTCTCCATGCTTGAGAATTGAGATACAATTGGCTTTTTCATTTAGGATATTTTATAGGGCGATTGTAACATGATGTTTTTAATATCTTAGTACCATTTTTAGTATTGGTTCTTTTGGAGTGATGTGGCTGTGTTGGAGGTTGTTTTTCTTAAGGTTTCTAGTGTCACGGTGTTCTGGTTGCAATATTAGGTATTGACCCTGTTTTGTATCACATTTGCTTTAACATTTAAGATTCCAGCATAAAACACCAGATACCTAATCAGTGTCATCCAGTGTGCTTTCTGATATTGCATAATATGCAATCATTACCCTCACTGACTTCTTGTAAATTAAGATGTTCTGTAAACTGACCAATGTTTTTTGTTTATTTTCAGATGTTTACATACACATAAAGCAACCAATTATAACTGATGCATCCCCGCCTATTCTATCTTAAACTTTTAAAAATATACGATAAAGCCATCTCAATTTTCTACTTACCTATACCAATTCATTGTTTCTTTAATTACATTTATATTTCATGTATCTTATACCTTAGTAACATTATGTGAAATTATATACTAGTAAATTAGCAATTACCAGCAATTAGAATTTAGAAAACTGTGTATATATGTAGCGATTGAGGCAAGGTTACTTATTGAATATAATTTAAATTGTTTCTAAGATCCATGAGAGAATCTTTCAATACAACAATGAATAATGAGTACTTTGAACACCTACATTGCTTTCGATTTTTCTATGCTCCCTTTGTAATTATCACTAGAAAAAGCCCAATTGGCAATATTTAACGGAAAGAGAGAGAAAACTATTCATGCCAGTCACTTTGGTTAGTGATGTGGTGCATATAGAATGAGTTAGAAATCAAATGGTAAATCACTAAAAGACGACAGGCGTCTCTTAATAAGACTCATATTTGACTATACAGGGGCTTCGCAATTTGACTATATCGTTCTATCAAATTCAAATCAAAGTCACACTATTAATCGATTTTGGAAGTCAATTGCCGTATTTTGCAAGCTTATCTTAAGTTTTTCATTCTTATGCTAATCAAATCCTAATTAGCAACATCATAATACTGTGTCAGGTAACTTTAATGGGTTATTCCTCAATTCCGTGTAGATTCTGCTCTAATTAAATTAATTTCAATTTTCTCCCTGTCTCCTTGTGATTTTCATATTATTTTCACATTTAGAGGTATGGCCGTTTTCATTCATGTGCTGCATTTTCGAGGCCACCCTGTGCATAAGAATATTGAAGGTATTTAGAGAAGATTGCAGATGTTTTGCCCCTAATATTGTACATATTTTCTTCTACATGTAGTTTGTTGTTTTTCATATTTCGAGTAAAGTGAAAA